GGGGGGGGGGGGGGGGGGGGGGGGGGCTGAGATCAATCTGCTATCGCAGACTAAGTTATACCAGATTGTTTGCAGTTACTTTTAGTGTAATTTTGTATCTTTTACTGTACATGAAACTGTAATAGGAAGAACTATATCTTATTTAACAAATGAACGTCAAATTCATTTATTTAATATCGACATTAATCTGAGCTCTAAATCTAAAATAAATAAATCCATAGTTCATAATGGCAGATCTATACTGAGCAACCCCAAGAGCCCGACTTGGTTGTCGTAGTACAAAACATTTTCTTTCATGTTTAGATGAAATTGTATTGTCTGGTGAGAGTAGCGAAGAAGATGAAAAGATTATGTTAACATCGTCGAATATCACAGATTTCCAAGAAAAGTAAGATTATCACTCTGTGGTAATACAGCTAATTCAATTAGCCTTTTTTCACGACCGACATTTCCGCCCTTTTTTAGGGTATTGCCTCTCCCACGTTCGAGACTCTCCGCTCCACAAAATGCGACTTTTTAGTATTATAGTTGGGCAATTGCTAGATAGTATACTTCAAAATAAGATTTCCGTTTTTATTCTATTTTTAAAATAAGTTAGGGTTAGGTTAGGGTTTAAGTTAGGGTTAGGTTGGGGTTAGGGTTAGTATTAGGGTTTAGTTTTGCGTTAGGATAGTTTTTTTCTACGTTATAAAAACGGAAACCTTACTTTGAAGTATACTATCTAGCAATCACCATTATAGTTGCATGTTTGTTGTTTGAGGGCAGATAGTATCCCCAAAATGGCGGATTTGACCTTCGTGAGAAAGACTGATTAAGGTTGTCGTCTGAAACTGCAAAACTCACAACCTCTAAGCTCGATGGACGTGTTAGCACGATCTAGTTCAGTTGTTATATTTTTACTAATTATAGTTTTTATGTTGTCTAGATAGTGTGCTAATAAAGTGAATTTAAATCCCAAGGGAGTAAAGCATGTCCCGTAAACAACTTTCTTTAACGTTAAGAGCTTTAAAAATCCCATGAATTCTGCCGTGTTTACTACTGAATTGGGTTAGACGCCTTAATTGTCACTATTTTAAATGATAGAATGTAGAGTTATTAAGTAACTTACAGGACTTTCAGAGGGAATTGAGTAGAATCGATTTTACTAGTGTATAAAAACACTTATCAATATTCATAACCAGTCTTCGCTTTGCGCTCTCGCGTGCTATATCGAATATATTTAATTGTAGTGACGACTTTTCATTGTATAAAAATTATATACATATGTGAAAATTTTATTTGTGAAAATTTATGAGTATTTTCTTGCCAAATAGCAAACTTTTCAAGCAACAAATCACTATTCATGCTAAAATATCACAAATTTCATGATCGACACTTTAATTCATTCTTACCTTGGTTCTGTTCACCTTGTCTCAACCGTCGAGCTTTCCTTTCATTTTCAGTCTTGAAATTTTCAATTTAATGATCCAGAGTTGTTTCATCGTCGTAAATTAATAATTCCAGATGCCCTAACAACTGATTTTCATTCTTTACACATGGCCTTGTAGTACGCTTGAGTTTGTTTTATCATTTCAATTTTCACAAAATGGAAAGTTTCTGCGCGAGACTGAACACAGTGCGCGTCTCTGTCAGTCAGTTATGATAAACTACATCATGACATCACAACGTTTTTGTAGCCTGCGCGAGAAAAAGGAATTGTGGGTAATTAATTAATTCAATGTCTGTGACGTCATTTAATGAAACAAGAATAAAAACTTGCGTAAACCGTTTTTTCACGGGGGGACTTTCAGTGTACGTGAAACGCATGTCATAACCAAAAGGTCGTTTGTTTGAGACAAAATATACACAACGAAATTCGTCATAGAGCAGAAATGCCATATTGTCTGGAACTCGGCCTGTTTTTTAACCGTGAGTTTTTTAATCCTTTTTTACTGAAATTTCACACACAATTTTAATTGTTTAAAAGCTTTAGACAATTTTAATTGCTTAAAAACTTAAAAGCTTCTTCTAGAGAGTGGTGCGCACTGCAAACTATCAAAATACGCAAATGATAAACTTTATATTCGAAAAAGTGCTGTGCTAATCCCTAGCTTGGCTGTTTTTACCAAATCAACGTTTTTTTGTCAACATAGCGATAATAATTTTGTTTTCTTTTATTTGAAGAAAAGTCACGAAAGAAACAGCCACAAAAGATGATATGAACGTGTCAAAAAACAAGAAAACAAAAAAGAAATAACTGTATCTCATAAATGAAATGAAACATACAGGGTTGTTGGCAGGGCGTCCTACATGTTGTTGACGTGCGAACGTTTACATGAGAATTTTGTCAACTGTAAAACAAGAGCTGTATGAAGTTGACAGGATATCACCACGCGTAGCAAAAACTCTCAAGGAAGCGCAAAGTTGATGAGAATAAGACCGGGGCTAAACAAAGCTATAATGTAATAGTTTCTGGTGGTATTACTTGTTCTTTTGTTTTCGTAAAAGGATGGGAAAATGCAAGTTATATAACTGCACAAGCCGAGCATAACCCGTAACATTTATCTGTAGATGGCAGATGCCTTGAAATAAGATATTTTTACTTAAAAGAATGGGGCTAAGCTGTCATCATCCCACCAAATGTGTATAACATTGACGTGATTTGGGACAGCATTTGATTTACCCGATTAACCGCTAGTCAAATCTGAACTGGGGCGTAGGAAGCATCAACAGATTGGGGGTGGGGGGGATAATGAAAAGGGCACCTTAAAATTTCCCCCGGAAATGGGGGGGGGGGGACAAAAATCTAATCATACTCTGCGGTCATACCAATACCGAATTACATTTTTGACCAGATTTGTTTTAAAAACATGGAAATTTCCAAACAAAAAGGGCACCTTTGATGTTAATATAGTATTTTCAGCGACATTAGTACAAAAAGGACTTCTCATCACAAAAAAGGGCACTTTTGATTTTTTGAAAAAATTGGGAGGGGGGGGGATGTACCGGGGAACGTGCCCCTGGTTTGTACGCCCCCTGAATCTGAATCCTCTATAAGGCCCGTTTGCACGTGCGATTTTCTTCTAATGGATGTGAACGAGTAGAGTGATTGTGAATGTTCAGTATATGTATCTGAACATCCATAACTCATCCACTCGTTCACATCCATCAGAAGTTAATCGCATCTAAAATCGCAGCAAAAATTGCAGGTGTAAATGTGCCTTATTGCATCTCGAACGGTCTTTGCCAGTGTAGGTCAAGAAAGCTGAGATACAACGACCTCAAAAATAAAGCCGAACTTCGACGTTTCGAGCGAAGACCCTGTCTCTCTACTACTTGCCTGTCAAATTTCACTTTGGTTCGACATTTTTCCCCGCCAATTTCAGGCTCTGTATTTCAATAAACTCGCATTGTTCACATCGAAATTTATAAATTTTATTCACGAACAGAAATTTCGATAGTTGCGCGTGCTCTGAATAAATTACGATAAAGATGGTGAATTGAAAATAACGAATAATAGAGTCGAGCTCGAGGATATAATCTTGTTATAACACACAACTGAGTAATGTTGACAGATCTTAAACACACAATTATATTAAAGAAACATTGGATATCTACATGATCGACTAATAACCTACGGCTACATGACTAAGAGAAAAAAACAAATTCTGAATATTTGAAATGAATTAAATAAAGACAAGTTTTTGAAACTTTATTTCAAAGTCATCATCAGACAGAATTTACAGTTTCAAAACTCGTCTTCATTAAATTCACCTCGTTCCCAGATTCATATCTTAAATTTCAAGATATATTCAGCCTTCAGAATTTGTTCCTCTATTTTCTGAAATTGTCGGTGGCTACTTTATAATCGATTATTTAAAAAATTAAAGTTTATTTGATCTATTTACACAATAGTATATAAAGAGAGTGTTGATTAAAAGTGATTATATATCTACTTAATACAACTAAACAATGTGGAATAATTTTGGAAGGCAGAAAGATTGTTCTGAATTGGATATCGTTTTCCGACGGATAGTGATTGTTTCAAACTGGCTAAAATTAACTGTTGAATAATCAAGATGAAAGTTTGGTGAAAATATTTTTGTATTTATTGTGAGGCATTTTGACAACAGTTGAAAAATCACTATCCAGTGGCCAGCCCCTGGCTTTAATGACGTCATTTAACAACAATTGTATCAATTAAATGATTTCTGACCACCTAAATACAATCAATTTACACGTGATTATTAACCGCTATATTATTATCCAAGGTGTAAATAAAATAAGTTCTAGTTTTCATTGCCAGCAAATTCAGGGAGAATCTATTAACCTCTACTGGTAAAATGTCTTACTTACTCTTACCCAGTCCTACATAAGTTGAACGTGCAGTACTTCATACAAAAATAGCTTCAGTAATCCTGAAGAGATTTCTACACATTTTGCTTCGGGAACAGGTCGTGAAACTGTTTGATCTTGTAATTCCTACTATAACCAGCAGTGGAAAAATATTAGGACTCTCAATTTACGTTGGCCCAACTTTTTGCCACTTGAATGGAATAATGCTGATTTGCACAACCATATAGGTATTCATGTTTAAAAACATCGTTACAACTTAGTAACTTGTTTATCAACATTCTTCCAGAGACTGACTCTGTTGGCAACATTTCCACACAAATCTCAAATTTGGAATTAAAAAAACATTTCAGTTTCAACCACCAATCCCCTACAAATGGAGTCAAAAATTATTTCTAGGTAATTTATAATGGATTATTATTTCTTTGTGCCTTTACATGAATGAAACGTTAACCTGTGCTCGAACTACCATGATGACTAATTTACACAACACTACCAATGAGACATTAGACAGCAGATCCTGGTGTATTCCTTGTCTTGTCAGTTCTAACATAAGACAACTCACAACTTGTCGTGGTTTCCACTGGAGCAACTGCAATGCATGCTCTTTCACTTGAAGTAGCTTTAATACAGAATAATTGTGCATGATTATTTTCATCACTTATTGCCATCATGAGCTTCTTGTTAAAACAACAACGGTAGCCCTTCAGCAAATAGAAGTACGCTGTTTTCCAAGAGGCCGTTGTACAAATTACGCACACATTTTACGTCTATATCTATATACTAACAAAATAATACCCAATCCTTATCTATATCTGCAGAATGAAAACAAATCACTAACTGTGATCTGTCTCAAAGCAGGGCTTGGCACTGATTGGCTCTGCTTCTAGTTGCAATGGGGCAACACAACCCATATAGACACTCATTAACCCCACAGAGTGCTCAACCACACCAAAGGAGTAATACCTGTCAGCTATCAACCCAGGGCTTCCCTCATAAGTACGAATAAAAGCGCCTTCCTTGTTCAATAATACGCCTATGGCTGATGGGTCTCAGGGTTTTTTATTCAGGGATTTTTTAGGGCCGTTAAACGGCCCCAAAAACTCAATCTTGAATTGAGTTTTGAAACTCAATCTTCTCCCCAAAGTTTCAGTGCAGTAAAAATATAGCTGGAATTCATCTCACAACACAAGAAAAACTATGCATTCGCCATCTTTAACCAGTTTATAGTGTCCCTTAGTGCCCCTGCTTTAACACATTCCGTCTCAACTACATTTATTGAGTACAGGTGTCAGCTCCCCGTAGGAGGGGGGGGGGGGGGTGCAGCCACCCCAGCTGTTCAGCTAAACTCAATCTTCTCTGCAAAAACGGACCCAAGAGAAAATCCTGAAAAAAACCCTGGGGTCTACATTTGGAGGGGGGTTAAAGTTGGTAGTTTATGGTGGCAGTTCAATTTGCAGTCAACATGTCACTGTTCAAAGCCGTCTTGGAACTGTCTAGGTATGGCCATGACTTAAGCCGGTTTTCCACTTCAAGCGTACGGTACCGAAACGTATCAAAAAGTTTTTAAATTTCAAAATTTCGTGAATGTTGATTGGTTAGTACTTTCGTAGTACGCCAAAAAGTTGACTTGCGACGAACTTTTTATTATACGCGAATACACCCGGAAGTACGTGGATTTATAAACCTTTTTTCAATCTGCGCATGCTCACCAGTACGTTTCGCTACGATACGGGCGAAGTGGAAAACCGGCTTTACACTCATTAACTTCCGTAATAAAGTGAAAGAATACCTTGATTAACCTGTCCTCTGGGCACACCACCAAGCTCTTCCGCCAAGCCACCATTATGCAAAGCACTATTATGATCATTAGGGGTAATAGACACAGTTACATCATTCTCTTGAGAAGATAGTCTTTCGTCTTCTGGTTGTAACTAAACAATAGTATAAACCATAATGCATTAGTTGATGAAACCAGAAGCTAGCTGATAAAACTTTTATGTTTTACTGTGAGAACACTTCAGATGAATGAAATTAGCACATTAAATGTTATATACTTTGATCTCAGTGCATGGTCATTTCAACAAAGGTTTAATTTATACTTTGATATCAGTGCATAGTTATTTTGCAAAATACTGTACAGTGTACAAATTAACATATTCCAAAAAAGAATGAGCATGAAAGATCACTACCATTTACTTACCATTCCCAATTCTTTCAAAATATTAGTCTTGCACATGGGACATGTTCTGTGCTCAATTAACCATGGATCTACACAATGCTTGTGGAACTCGTGGCTATAAATATAAATTGCATCATGTCGTTAATGTACATGTGTGTTGTAATTAATTCATGAGCAAAACACAAAGAAAATCAGCACTGCTTTCTTCATCACTATAATGGTTTAAACTCATTCGTGCACTTAAATTGGATAAGACTCGCTACCAATCCCTGTTGACTCGATAGCTCAATAGGTAGAGCGGCGGTCTAGATACCCGAAGATGCGAGTTCAAATCCCGCTCGAGCCAACGAATTTTTCGTTGCTCGATTGCAGTGTCAGATTAATATGAAACTAGTTTTCATTTACCAAGATGCCCTATTTTATTATTTCACAAGGCCAGACAGTTTTACCCACAGTGGCGTAGCAAACTCGATAATTGGGGGGGCACATATTCATATATTCGTGTTCACTGACCTTAAAAACAATTGATTTCAAAAGAAATTAATAAGGCAGAACACGAATATATGAATATGTGCCCCCCCCAATTATCGAGTTTGCTACGCCACTGTTTACCCATCAAGAAGAGAGTGCTGGTGTTCAGTGTGTTAATGGCAATAAATACAGTAAGTCAACTTTGGCATTCAGTTTCTTTTTAAACACGTTTCGACTTGAAAAGTAAGCTACTGTATATCATACATTTGGAGTCACTTGTTATGGTGATTCACTTCTCCACACACTTTTCAAATAAAATTCTCCACACAATTAACTTGGCTTTTGTTAATTTATGGTAATACATACTTGCAAGGAAGTGTACGAAGTGTTTCGCCAGATTTGTATTCCTCCAAACAGACTGCACAAGAATTGTTCGATATTCCATCTTCTTCATCCTGGTTTTAAATGAAGAATAATTTAATGAGTCCTACAATCCATTCTAAATCATTCTCCCACATACTCGCATTGAGTCTTTAACAATGTGTGTGGTTTGATCACCAATACCCAAGACTGGTTGTATTAAAATTATTTTAAAAGTCTAAATTAATTTTTGCCACAGATGAAAATAGTGGGTGAAAATGGCATATATGCTTAAAAGATCCATGCTGGGTCTACCTATTTACAAGTGCTGAGCACAGATGATATTGGTAGCAATTATGCCAATCTTATATTGTTCGTCATTTTTCAATAACTTTTAAATACTGTAGTTTATTGTCCTTGTTTTAATAATTCTGTGTTGTTCTGTTATGTTTCAAGGTTTGTCTTCAAATGGATAGCGCTAGCCAGACAAAATGTTTACATGAAGTATTGTATTCACAGGCACGCAGAGAGCAATGAGATATATGTACGAGGAGCCTGGAGATAATTTCTCATCTTTTTTCGTTATGCTTTTTACAGGATTTAGTCAAACTAATACCCACATTTTGTGTTATTTTGAATTGAAACACTAATCCACATTCACTTAAAAGCATAGCAAACCAAAACGCTGTTAAATATTAGTTAAGTGCATTATATTTTATAAATATAGTGTCTTCAATATGTAAACAAACTGCAGATTTGCTCAACAGACTTGACCATCTCTTTAAATTTATTGGAGCTATTTCTCATACTTGCAAATGGAAAAAAGACTTCCCGGGGCAGCTCGGTGCTCTTTGGAATGAAAAATTTTCCCGAAATGTTGGCGGGGGGGGCTGCAATCGTACAAAATGCAATCTGAACAACATGTTTCACAAAGGCAAAGGACACTTGGTCACTGGAGAGTGGGCATTTTTTGTGTTTTCTGAAGGAAAAATAATTTCAATCATAAAAAAAATGCAATCTGATGCATACACTCCAACACTCTCTGTGTGCCTGTAAACTTCATGAGAATACTTAATGTAAAAAAAAATGATGCAGTGTCTGAGGCAGCAATGGGATTCATGTCCTGTTGACAACACCAACCATAATTTTGTTACTATTTTATATAACATTTTATATTTTTATATAGTTGTAAAGTAAATAAATAGCTAAACTAAATATGAACTAGCCCATAATATGTACTGTAGTGAGGTTTATCTACCAATTGATGCTGTAGTTAGTACTTACCTTCTTGCTAACAGTTCGGGAATTAAGTTTTGCAATGGCTTTCTTTGCAGCTGTTGTAAGCCGTCTCTATATCACAAAATGAGATAAATTTGAATACCAGCAGTTGATGAAGGGAAATAGCCCAGTTCAAGTTTGATATTTGTTCAACACAGGATCTTACAGGTAGCTCTAGGAATTTAGATTTTGGAAGTGTTTCTAAATTTCTGACATTAAAATCAGTTAGCCACGCTTGGGGCATTTAAAGCCATCTTAAACCATATGGTTCCCATTACCTATATCGAAACATAAAAACATCATGGATCACTTTTACCAATTCAACAAAGTAGGTTTTACAAACTTTCTTATGAGATAAATAGGAGGAAAGTCTTTTTTTAATTTTCAGGAAGCTTTCTCACAAAGTGATTTTCAGAAAGGTCCAGAACTAAATAAACACAATTACAAGGAAGATTCTGTCATGGTCTGTTGTATGTAGTTATGAACCTACAAGGCTTTAAATAAATAACAACGCCGCATTCATTTTATTTTATTTTGCTGTGTTGTTCCATTTTTGGCCAAGGTAACACTGTCAACACAGCCATCTAGCCAAGATCCTGGTTCAACATCCCACAACATTAAATTCAAGGGTGGGTTGACTACAAAATTTTTGTAGTTCGCTATAACTACAGCTACTTCAAAAATATGTAGTCAGCTACAACCACTGCTACTTTTGAACAAAGGTAGTTTGCTACTGACTACAGCTACTGCTTAAAAATGTAGCAAACTATTTCGCTATTTCACTACGCTATATTTTTAGTTTTACTGTATTTGGAGCATCTACTAGCTCAGGCTGTAATGTAACCTAGAACAAATCAACTTACGAGTAAATGTGATGGCACTTGTATAGTTGCACGGCACATTTTATTTGTGCAAATTGACTATTGAGTACTGATTTTAAGCAATTAATCGTGTCTTAATATGATTCTATTCTATCAAGTTGCTAACAATTTTAGAAGTTGATGCTTGTGATGTTACTCTGAGTGTATATCCACACCGGGCAAGCTTGAAAAATATGCCTGGCCACGGTGGGAATTGAACCTACAACCTTTGGAATACTAGCCCAATGCTCTCCCAACTGAGCTATGTGGTCAGGTCGGTTTGAGTATGTGATATTTTGGAAACTGAATCTAGTTCCTTCAATATTAATGTAATCTAATGCACTCAGAGTAACATCACACGCATCATATTCACCTGAGTACACTACACTAGTTACACAGAAAAATTTTTTAGAAGTAGCGAATAGCGATTCGCTGCTTGAAAAGTAGTCAACTACTTGGCTACATTTACCAAAATGTAGTTCGCTATAACTACAGTCACTGTTTTAAAAAAGTAGTCCAAAACTACTGGCTACTTGAAAATTGTAGTTTGCTACAGTAGCGAACTACAACTACTTCTACCCACCCTTGATTAAATTTAAAGATTATTCTCTTGCACTAACACTGGGTTTTACATTGTATTTGCTCTTTTTGCCATCCTAATCAACATGTTGGCATCACCCCGTATTTTAATTGGATGGTGATAAAATGTCCCACAATAAGTTATAAGATTATAAGCATAAATTAACACACACTCGCCAGGTGGATAATTATCACTTATTTACTGAGACCGAGGGAAACAGTGTGTTTTGTGGACCCGAGACCGTCGATGTTTCCAAACATCGACGGTCTCGGGTCCACAAAACAAACTGCTTTCCCGAGGTCTCAGTAAATACGTGTTTTATTATATATCAATAGTCAAAGAAACAACAAATTAAAGAACAAATGAACGTAAATACATGAAATATTTTATTGTTAAAACGTGATATTAAACACTGGCTACACTGCAGTTACTTAAAGCGAAAGTTTTAATTACGTACTAGGCATGTCCAAAGGTCGCATCTTCATGTGATGGCGCACATGATTTTTTTGTTATTCGCCGGTCGATAACGTATTATCTCCCTCTCGCGCTTTTGCGCGGGAGACAGCCTAATTTCGTCACTCTCACGTGATATGCTCTCAACCAATAAAACACTAGAAAAATGCGACTTTGACTATTGATATATAAAAATGCTTTTTGTGCAATTTGATTGGTCGCTCAACTCTGGATACCTTGCAGTATTCACCTCCAGACCAAAACAAAATGTCTTCCCATTTCATTCTGGTTACAAACAGTGTGTAGAGGTTTAAAGCTATTTCTAATTAATATTAAAAAACTCATTAATAATTCATGAAGAAAACACAAAGAAAAATCATAAGCGTGTCGTATCTGTATATGTGATACAGATTCATGTTGATTTACATAAACTTTAACTTTGATTTTTTCGGCTTAGACAACATTTATTTTTAAAATTACTTCGGCAATGAACTCATAAGATGAGTCGTTTTTTAAGTCATTTACAACATTCACGTCCGTGTTGTATCGGATATACAAACTCTCGCCTTTGGCTCGAGTTTGTATATCCGATACAACACGGCCGCTCATGTTGTAAATAGTACAAATTAGAAATAGCTTGTAAATATGGTTTTGTTATTTTTGGTCATTTTTATTTTGTTATGGTATATAGCGAAACAATTATTCACCTCATTCCTCAATAGTGCAAGGATATTCACCTTACTTCAATGAATAATTGTTAAATACACAGTAATATCCCCAAGGGGAAAATAAGAATGATCCATTAGTGGTGAGAACACAGGAAATGTGTAAATTGATACATTCTTAATCAATTAAAAGCAAGCATCACAAGATCACAAAGCATCACATATTCCACTGTTTTATAGTGGAAGGAACTATCAAGCAAAAACCTAAATAAATGTAAGACCGAACGGGGCCAATTTTGGCCATCCAGGCAAAGTCCACTGTCTGTTCTGCTGAACTAAGATGCTCAAAATTCCGTGTAACTAAACACGTAGGCTGTCTGGACTGCAATTTTCAAATATTTGAAGGTGACTTTGAAAGAACATTTTCATAATATAATGATATATAAGTATAATACGATTAAAAATCACAGTAGAACCATTTTCGATGTCGAAAGAAAAATAGAAAATCATCTTGAAACAGCAGCATTTAAGTTTATGGCCACATATCACTAGATAGTATCTATCGACTAATTTTAACCATAAGTTCGAGTAAGAAAAGCGAGGATATAAAGCTAGAAAGAGAAGATCCCCCCGCAGTTATGAGTCGAGTAACTTCTATAATAGTCATCAAAGCAGTCAAGCATTCACAAATATGCGAAACATACAACATATAAATAAAAAAAACAAGCTATTACTATAAATTGTTTTACTTTTCAATGTATATGGATTCCACAACATATCCCTGGCTTTCTACTCAAATAACTTGAAACTATAAACAATACTCATGGCAACACATTAATTCTTGTACAGAATACAATAGATCATTTATTAAACGCTGAAAAGCCATATTTCTTCATACTAAAACACATTTGCTTTTGTTTGGTTTAACACACGATACTTCCTTACCTCTGTTTTATCTCTGGCATACAAAAATCGGAATCTCTGAACATAGTAAAAGACAAGCCAAGCCAATGAGATGACCATGAGAACGATGAACGATACCGACACAAACAACACAGAGATTGTATTAATTTTACGACCTTCGATCGTTCTGTCGAAAGAAATCTTCACATACACACTAGAATTATCGATTTCTGATGTGATTTTATTCCCAAAGTCATAAGAAATGCTAACAGCGACGAGATCGGGGTTATTTTGATGTTCCATTTTAAAATCAGGGCCTGGCTTATCGCTGTATATAACGACACCGCTCGCATTGTGGTTCTCGGCGTTTTGAATCTTCGATGTAAAATAACAACTACCCCGTTGTATCAAAGCAATCCAAGGACTCTTCTTCACCGGGAAATCAAATTTCTGACAACCGTTTTTTGTACTAGCATGTACTAAATATCCTTCGACTTTTCTGTGAGAACTGCTAGAACCATATGTTGCTTCTCTGATGTGTGAAATGCAACTAGAGCCATCTAGTTTACACACAGTAACGTTTATACTCGCAATGTGAGTGTCTGGCTCCGAATTATCATTATATAAAGCAGAAACGTTCCCTAACAATAGTCCAAGGATTAAAACAACCACAGAGAATTCCCCTAATATCTTTTGAAGACCACAGACTGCCATATTTATGTACTTTTCTTCTCCAAAACCCAACAGAATTTCGTGTTATTATTGATCACGTGACTAGTAGCAACGTCATCACGCCCTCCAGACTGACGTCGTGCACAACGCAGGAATGCATCCACTCACGGAATAATACCCATTCTCCAGTTTCAAAAGGTGTTGCATTTATTGAGTTGTCAGTGTATACAAATAATTTTACCAAGGGTGGGTAGTAGCGAAGTAGTTGTAGTTCGCTACTGTAGCGAACTACAATTTTCAAGTAGCCAGTAGTTTTTGACTACTTTTTGAAAACAGTAGCTGTAGTTATAGCGAACTACATTTTGCCTAGAAGTAGCCAAGTAGTTGACTACTTTTCAAACAGCAAATCGCTACTTTTTAAAATTGTTAGCAACTTGATAGAATAGAATGTTATTAAGACACAGTTTGCTTAAAACCAATACTCATATCATATGCTCAATTTGCACGAACAGAGTATGCCGTATGCCGTCTTATTTACTCGCGTAAGTCGATTTGTTATAGGTTACGTTACAGCCTGAGCTATAGTAGATGTTCCAAATAGTTCGAAATAGTTCGCTACATTTTTTAAGCAGTAGCTGTAGTCAGTAGCGAACTACTTTTGTTCAAAAGTAGCAGTAGTTGCAGCTGACTACATATTTTTGAAGTAGCTGTAGTTATAGCGAACTACAAAAAGTTTGTAGTCAACCCACCCTTGAATTTTACAAACAATTATCAACACACATATATAGACTATGAGCGATCCCTCCTTTCCGCATACATTAAATAAGAACTGAAGAACTCATGAGAGGTCTCCGTGCAATGTGCTCCACCCCTCAAATATGGTTTGTGACATGGGCAATCACGCACTAAATCATGTTGACATATTATGGATCATGTTGACATATTATGTCCACATCGAAGGTTTTCAAGTATTTTACAAGTAAAATTCCATAATTTAACGAACTGGTTGAAGTTTTAAAAGAAGCTAGGAAGGTGCAGAATGGAACTCTGAAAGTTAGGGTTTTACTGAGTTGGGTACTACCATTGTTGACAAAAGACACTGGTTTGGAAAACGAACAAAAAAAATAACATTGTCGATCATTTTTGTATAAAATATTCAAGTTGCAGTGAGATGTCCAAGACCTGCATTACGTTTATTATACCCTGCTACACGTTTATATATTACTGTAGACACTGTAAGCTTGGTTTTCAGCCAATTTCAGGCTATTCCCTCTTGGGAAGTTACAATATCTATCGCATAACCCAGAATATGCCCGTTCGCAGAGATATATATATATATATATATATATATATATATATATATATATATATATATATATATATATATATATATATATATATATATATATATATATATATATATAATTATATATATATATATATATATATATATATATATATATATATATATATATATATACTAATTATAATCTTAAGATTTTATTAATCGCTACACAGTGTTTCACGCTTTCAAAGCGATCTTCAGGCGATACTACTCTATTCTTATACTTTAGAACCGCAATTGGGAATATTCACAACATGCTTGGGAACGTTTTGTAAAGTGACCTGAAATTGAGAATAAGGAAGAGCTCCACTTTCAACGTTATCTTAAGCCCTGGGCAAACTAGGAAACATTGTTGTGGAAACATTTGTGATTCTCGATGTTTCCTCAAATGTTTCCCTGTTTGCCCACCCGTGGAAACATTGTTGCGGAAACAAAATTTGCTTCCCGAGAAGCAAAAATGTTTCCTAGCGAATTCGGAAACATTTGATGTTTCCCTATGTTTCTCACTAATGTTTCCTAGCGCTTGCCCACTCTTGGAAACATGACGAAACATTGGTAGGAAACATGGTTGATAAAATATTGCACCAATTCCTTTCCTCAAGTTGATCAATTCATTTGATAAAAAATTGATCAACTTCCTGTTACTTCTAGATGAGCCAATTAGATTTCGTTTCAGAACCGATTGACCAATAGGAAATGCACAGGAAGTAAAAAGAAATTTGAATTCGTATGAATTGATCAACTTAGGAAATAAATTGATGCAATATTTTATCAACACTTCTATTGCATCGACAGTAACAAGCTGAAAATCAATTTTGGTGTTACGGGCACTCTAAGCCCCACACAGACAAGCAAGTTTCCCAGACAAGTTTACTTTCTCGTGTGTACAGTCAACAAGTTTCCCTTGACAAGTGTACTTTCTCGTGTGTACAGTCAACAAGTTTCCCTTGACAAGTTTACTTTCTCGTGTGTACGGTCAACAAAGTTCCCTTGACAAGTTTACTTTCTCGTGTGTACAGTCAACAAAGTTCCCTTGACAAGTTTACTTTCTCGTGTGTACGTCAACAAGTTCCCTTGACAAGTTTACTTTCTCGTGTGTACAGTCAACAAAGTTCCCTTGACAAGTTTACTTTCTCGTGTGTACAGTCAACAAGCTTCCCTTGACAAGTTTACTTTCTCGTGTGTACAGTCAACAAAGTTTCCAAGACAAGTTTACTTTCTCGTGTGTACAGTCAACAAAGTTTCCAAGACAAGTTTACTTTCTCGTGTGTACAGTCAACAATTTTCCAAGACAAGTTTACTTTCTCGTGTGTACAGTCAACAAAGTTTCCAAGACAAGTTTACTTTCTCGTGTGTACAGTCACAACAAAGTTTCCAAGACAAGTTTACTTTCTCGTGTGTACAGTCACAACAAAGTTTCCAAGACAAGTTTACTTTCTCGTGTGTACAGTCACAACAAAGTTTCCCTTGACAAGTTTACTTTCTCGTGTGTATAGTCAACAAGTTTTCCTTGACAAATTTACTTTCTCGTGTGTACGGTCAACAAAGTTTCCCTTGACAAGTTACTTTCTCGTGTGTACAGTTACAACAAAGTTTCCCTTGACAAGTTTACTTTCTCGTGTGTACGGTCAACAAAGTTTTCCTTGACAAGTTTACTTTCTCGTGTGTACGGTCAACAAAGTTTCCCTTGACAAGTTTACTTTCTCGTGTGTACGGTCAACAAAGTTTTCCTCGACAGTTTACTTTCTCGTGTGTACAGTCAACAAGTTTTCCTTGACAAGTTTACTTTCTTGTGTGTTCAGTCAACAAGTTTCCCTTGACAAGTTTAACAAGTTTTCCTTGACAAGTTTACTTTCTTGTGTGTACAGTCAACAAAGTTCCCTTGACAAGTTTACTTTCTCGTGTGTACGGTGAACAAAGTTTCCCTTGACAAGTTTACTTTCTCGTGTGCCCTAACTACTCATCGGCTTCACACTACTCAGTCACTAATACAACAAGGCATACTAATTATCTTTACTAGTACAATAATACTTAATTGATTATTACAGCCTATAAAGTACACGTACACGGGGTACTCGTCAATCACTATACAGGGTGTATAAAAAAAAGCGCAATCCTCGACTAAAATGTAAATTGCTAAACAAATAATAGACGAAAACTTTAAAGTTTACATTCATTTTAAAGCGTAGCCATTCATTTGTTTCTTAAATTTGACTCATTGGTTCGCGGGTAATAATACTTTACGTTATTGCGATTGGAGATTAAAAAAATTGAGATGGAATAACAAATCGTTCTCATGAAAATAATTGATTTTTTCATTAAAACAAAAAAATGTTGCATTTTATTAAATGGATTGTAACAACAAGTATAATTACGGCTTTTCTTCCACTATTTTTAACTCAGTTTGAAACTTCAAATGCGATATAATTTTGGCTTGGACCATCTAAGCTGACTGACATCAACTTGCTATAATTTCTGTTTACATTACATCGCAATTCGATGACACTCGGGCTCAGACACCAGAATGTTTTGACGATTTTTAGCATTCGTTTAGGATTTTCAAACAACCTGGTCTCTTTTAAAATACTTTTAATTTGTTCTTACGTGGTTTTCCAGATGTAGTGACGACAACATTAAAGTTTAAAGAAGAAAATTCTAACATTTAAACCGACTAAACAATAACATTGTAAACTTGCATAATTAAACAGCAACTAAAAATGATAGGTTTTACTAAATCTTTTCCTGTGCAATTATTACTAACATTGGAGACAAGGATAATAGTTTGTTTGAAAGAGAAAAGAACAGGCTTTGAAGTAAGCCGAAAAGCGTTGAACTGGAGATAGTATTTCGAAAGTTATTAAGCACAAAAGATGAATTGCGTTTATTTTGATACACCCTGTAGTTGTTACCATAGTGATTGATGAGCAATGTCTTTAATACGTTCGCTGTTTTATTGCAGATGTTTTGCGTTAAAGTTAAGGGAAGGTTGTTCCACGATTTTGCCGCTCTATAGGAAAAGCTTTTTTTAAGAAAATTTGTGCTAGGCTTTGCTAATGACAGTTGGTCAAAATTACTTCTCAAATTATATGTTTCATTCGAGCAACGATTAAATAATTTAGTAAGATATGGAGGCGAATTTCCGATTAATGCCTTGAAAGTAGCTATGTTCTCTCGAGTTTGTAAAATAATATGTGTTCATTGGTAACCGGTTAAGTTTTTGAAATGCTTCGTTAGATCGAATATCATAAGAATCACCGGTAATTACGCGTGCCGCTTTCTTTTGAAGTTTAGACATTTTAGTTAATTTGTTTTTACTTCCGTCATACCACACAGTCGAACAATAGTAAAAATTAGGAATTATAAAAGCGTTATACATTTTCTCCAGAACATGTCTGGGAACGAAAGACTTAGCTCTTCTTAGCAAGAGCAATGTTCTTTGAAATTGTTTTGCTTTGTTCCTCGTTATGTTTGTCCTACTTAAGTTGTTCATCTAAGATAACACCAAGTGTCTTTTTATGTGGTACACGCTTAATTACTTTGCCACCAAGTTTAATTTAGGGACCATGTTCGAAAGATGGCGCTCGTTGCCTTGAGCCTATTATTATAAATTCCGTTTTGCCATCATTTAAGGTTAGTTTGTTTGCAATGAGCCATTGATCCACATTTACAAGGTCATGATTTAGTTTTGTTTCAATTTCGTCTACGGTTGATCCTGTTGCTGAAAGAGTTGTATCGTCAGCAAATAATCTGGCCTTAGTTTTTTCAAGGCAGTTAGGCAAATCATTAATGTACAAAAGGAACAAGAAGGGGCCAAGATTCGATCCCTGTGGGACCCCGTAGTGAATTTCTTTCTCATCAGAAAGTTTACCATTAATTGCACAGACCTGTTTTCTATTCGTAAAATAAGATCTGAACCAATCTAAACTGTGCCCTCTTATTCCATACAGCTCTAACTTAGAAAGTAATATTTTGTGATTAACCGTGTCGAATGCCTTTTTTAGATCCCTTAATTTGAGCTATTGTTTTCGTCAATTCTAGAGCACTAATATTTTGAAAGTAAAATGTGTTCGTAACAGGTGGCACGAAGCGCAATGGATCGGAATCTATACCGGTCACATTACTAGCAAGTTTTGATCCTATTGTAGAAAAATAATCATTGAAAGCAAGAAGCAATATTTTCATCTCCTTTAACAGATCGATTTTCAATTTGTAACTCAGGAATTTCTGTAGTCTTAGATGTGTTCGGTGAAACACAGTCAAAACGACTTCAAAAACTCCAAAATAGAGCTGCTCGAATTAATCATGAATATGAGCAATGACACAGATCATTCTGTAGCATTGCAAGCATTGGGCTGGAAGACACTTAAAGTAGAAAGGAAGAAAGCCAAGGCAAAAATGATGTATAAATTATTAAATAACTTGGGCCCTCAATCACTCACTAACTTATTCACTTATAAAAGTGAGATTACTAGCTATAATCTTCGAAACGTTTCAAGTACTCTTTATTTACGCTCGACAAAATATTTCAAGACAGTTAAGTTTTTCATATTTTATATTGGGTTTTTAGTGCCGTTTTAAACTGCCAATTTCAAACAAATAGAACCTTGAAAGAAATTTCACTGCATTTTAACGGAACTTCGCATTCAGTTCAAGGGCCAGTCATTGTTCGTGGAGAAATATGTTTATTTCAGTTTGTGACACTTTTATTTATTGATATATATTAAATTATATAAATATAAAATATAAAATATAAACCTCCCGCCTCTTCAACACTTTCAAAGTGTAGTGATGAGAATCAAGGAATTTATTTTATGTGGCCTTAAATTGATTAACATTAAAATTTTTAAACTGCCTACTGAATATAATTTTCGGCGTTTCTTTCGGGATACTGACTTTGCGGCACAAGTAAACTAAATGATGGTCACTGATACCTAGTTCTACTACTCCAGTATCTTGTTGTCATCAATAGAAGTAATAATTACGTCCATTAATGATTGCGACCTAGCAGTTACTCTAGTAGGACTAGGATGCTGCTTCGAAAGATAGATATCAAAAATATCTAGCAGTTTAGCCGATAGTGGTCATCTGTGCAAATATTGGTCTTCTTTAATATATATCTGCGCCCAAAAATATTGTCGATTTTTCTTCTCTGTGCCATTTGCAAAGATTCCAGTTTGGTACATATTGAACTGCCTCATCAGTCCTGTTCTATTTATCCAGGTCAACTTTAGTTCATCAATTGGACTATCCAGGGCAAAGGAAAGGCTTCTTCTTGCTTAGTAACCTCGCCTTGTAGACGACTCAAATTATCCATACAATATCCATCGCGCAGTGATATACCCCTAGATTTCCCTAAATGTCCATCAGATTAATGATTCACCTCTTTTGATTATTAAAATGGGTAAATATCAGGATTTTGTGCATCTCACTCGATACAACCACTGTAGGTTATTAAGCCGTGTAGCAAAGCACAGAACACGTCACAAGTAATTCATTATTAACCAGATTGAACGCAAGAGCATGTATAGTCTAGTAGTAGAATTGCAATTTTTACTTAATCGTAAATCGCAATATATTTCAGCATTTTCTTTTGCGTCAAAGTAATTTCTGTTTTAATTCTCTGAAACAAAGCAGTACGTTTAGTTAAGTTCAGTATACGATATTAGTACTTTTTTCAATAATATAATATTGTATTCTTAAATGCACATTAATCATTTAATATACGGATCGCAAATCGAATATATAATCACGTGTTATTGTTCCCTCGTGTTCCTGCATATTTGCCTGCAATTTGGATACAAAATAGTATGCACATGTAAATACGGCGGACAAAAGGCAGAATCAGTCGGAGCAGAATTCTATATGCAGGGCCGTAAATAGTTATTTAACTATGAAACTATTTAGAGTAGTATCGCCTGAAGATCGCTTTGAAAGCGTGAAACACTGTGTAGCGATTAATAAAATCTTAAGATTATAATTAGTATATTTTGCTCTATCAATTAAATTTGTTATTGAGCACTCTTTTTGTACAACGGACAACGATTTATTATTGTATATATATATA